CGGTAACAAAAAGTGCGGAACTATTTTGAACGTCTATCGGAGAGTTAATGGCGTTTAAATTTTAATCGCTTTCTCGTCGCGTCGGGCAATTTTCTCAGAGTTTATCGCGTGGAATCTACATACTAAGGAAAATATGGTTCACGGGAGACACTGGATATAGTTCCACGTTGCACGTCCGATGTTTGCGCGCAACGTACGCGGAATCGCATAAACATAGGGCCGTCGCCGAGGGTTGTATGTATATAGTCGACGAAATAAGGGACGGAAATAGGAGGCTAGCACTCAGAAGAGGCATCCAAGCACCTGTCGAACGTGACTTGAGATGCATCGTAGAAACCGCTTCCGCTAGTTGTATGACTTGTGTGTCTCCGCGGAGACACGCACTTCCGTCTCGGCAAAATATTTCACGTAATATGTTCGCGCAAACGGCAAACTCTGATACACCATTTATTTATGCTGTTTAACAGTTAGTTGTAACAATCTTTGAAATGACAGTTAAAAATAATAATCTTAGAAACAACATAAAAAATTAGTGAGATACAACTTTTAGAAAAGCGCTTTCGATAAGAGAATTATATATATATTAACTATCGTTACTTCGAGATTCACTAGATAGCAAAAACTCGACGAAGGCGCGTAAAAGCGACGGGAAATCCGTTCCGTCTGATTCACGAGGAAGAATACCTTCCTAATCGAGAGACTTGGAACGGTCACGTGCGGTTATCGCCGCTACAAGCTGAAATCCCTCGACGAACGAGAGCGCGGCGACGAGAGAGGGTGAGCGCGTGACACACGATGGAAGTCCATAAATCTAATCGACGTCCACGGAAGCACGAACGCGGGAGAGGGCAAAAAAGACGAAAGGTGAAAGTGGGAGGGCGGAATGCGGAAAAAGAGAGAGATAGCGAGCGAGGACGAGAGAGGGGCGGGGTGGTTCGTTAAACGAGCTTAACGTGTGCCACCCCGTGGTAAGGCATTACTCTCGGCTAACGGGCCGTGTTGCAAACCCTATTAGCAATATATTTTCCTCGCTCCGTCGGACCTCCGGCCCGCCATTGTGTTGCCGGCCGAACGGTTTACACGTTGTCGTTGGAAGCGCGCCGCGAGCGTCCAGCGAGATTTTCGGTCCCGTGGGCCGGAAGCCCGCGTTCATCGATCCCTATCTCGTTCTCTGACACTGACCCTTGTAGACGCGGCAGATTTGTGCGCCCATCGGACAAATTCTTCTTGATTTTCTGACCGATCTCTTGAGCCCTCGACATGCGGAACAGCGGCCTGTTGATTTGCCGGTTGATAGTTAAATGCCACCTGGGATCTCGTGTCTGAAAGCTATTGAGCACAATTTATCGGAAATCCGGAAATTTATTGCATGGGTGATATTTGTGTGTTACATTGGTTTTCAACGCATTTTTTGTAATATTTTTTATCGTTGCAAGTAACATGGCAATTTTAAATCTGTACATTTGAATAAAAATATTTAGCATTTAATGTCACGGAATAAATGTTTTAAATTTACTAATTGTCATAGAGCTCAGAGAATGTTCTAGCATTTTAACTTTGCTTTTTCCCCTTTCTCTCTCTTTTTCTGCCTCACAAGTGATGCTTCAAAAAATCACGGTAAACATCCGCGTGACGCTCAACCGTTGTTCGCGGTGGCTCATAAAAGACGGAGAGAAAAAAGACTACAAAACACGATCCTCGCAAGGAAACTAGCGAGCGTCGACTTTTCAGGTGTGCCACCTCGTGTCTTCCATTTATAAGCGACAGTGCGCCAAGAAGACCTGTGCGGCGGTATTCTCGCGCTGGCTCTCTGTGCAGTAAAATTTCTACAAAAGTTCCTCTCGCAAACGCGCACGTTACCTAGGCCCGCATACGTTACATCTCGCTCTCTCCGACCATTGCTTTACCTCGCGAGACCGAGGGAAATGTCGGTGGGATTCGCGAGTGCGGACCGCAACGGCTTACCCTGCACCTACGTGAGCCACACGACGATTCACCACTTTTCTCTCTTTCTCCCTCCTTTTCTCGGGGAAGACACGTGAATCCTGCAAATAATATTCGCGGAAAGCAGGAGAGAGAGAGAGAGAGAGAGAGAGTCCCGGGTAGCCTCGAGCTGGCTTTGTACGGGGCGCTTTGTGCGACTTTGGATGGGTTTTAGCGGGGCTTCGACGCCGCGAGCTCGGCGACGTAGCGGGTCGAATACCAAAACAGCCGTTCTGCGCTCGCCCATCCGCCCGCTCGCGCGCACGGAGACGGTAATAAATATGTAAAACTCGGCCGGAGGGTGAATCGCGCGCGGGAAGATTAATGAGCAATTCCCGCGGGGCTGCCACGGCGGTGGGAGAGAATTCTCCACGCAGCACGTATCGCTACTTCCGTTCTATCACTACCTCGATTTTGATAGGATGACATTTTTTTTAGCCAGATAGTTTCGTAATCGGTCGATTACGTCGGTAATATATATATTAGAATAACAATATGATAATATCGCCCGCTAGTATCGCGCTCTCGTATGAATATTCATGAGATTAGTGCTCGTGACGGCGATTTATTTTGTAATTAACCGTGGAGGGGTAACGTAAAGTTATTGCTAATTAGCACTAACACCGGAGTATTACGTCGCGCGATATAAAGGAACATGATGTAACACCACGATCATTAGTAACTGATATAAAAGTTCCGTCTAATGAATTCAGCGAGTAAAGCAAAAATATGCATTTCTGCAGTAAGATTGCGAACAAAACTTCATAGCGGAGAATTAACATTTTAAATTTCACTATAGTAATCAAAAAAAGTTCACGCGACAGCAACAATGTATCAAGAAATTTCTTTTGCATTATACTTGATGAAACTGTAAAAATTTTTTTTCTTTTAAAATAATTTAATTCAAGATACAGATATCTGTCCGAGATAATTCAACTATTAGAATTCTGCAAGGCGCAAAAAGAAACGTGATAAGCGCGGTCACGAATACGGCGCGATAAGATTTCCACGAGAATGGCTGATGGAAGTAGTAAGAGTACGCACCGTGTCAGGCAGCGCGCGACTCTCGACGGCGAGACATCAGGCGCATCTTTCGGGTTTTTCTCAGTGAGCGAGTCGATTGTCAACGTGACAATGGCCGGCTGGATTCGAAAGCGGGGAAAATTCGCGCTCCGAGGAAGCGCGGGACGACTGTCGGATATCTCGCCGACGGATAAACGCCGTGTAAAAGACCGTGAATGCCGAGTATTAGCGCCACTAAAGCGTCGTCTCGCGCCGCCCTTGCGTAATCTCCGTCGAGATTACGACGTCCGTCTGCAGAATCCCGTGGGAAACGGGAACGCTCTCCTCGCCGCTCCCAGAAAAGTTCCTGCTTTTCAGCATATCGATTCGAGCCAATAGCGATCGTATCGCACGCCCGAGACGGCAATTATTCGGACAACGATTATTGAATTCTTTCCACGTCGCTAATTTAATCGCGATGGGCCGATATCTTTTTGCATACGACGAAGGATCCGAATTGAGTCTAATTATTCTTCTGTTCTGCGATAGAATAATAATGTAAGTTTATATTTGTTGGTTTTTAATTTATTGAGAGAGTTTTGAAAGCAAATAATAATTAAAAATTTTATTCCTCTACGGTATATTGAAATTAAATTGGAATTAATGATTAGAATTAATTAATATTGAATATCTTTTTAACATACGACTTATATATATATATATTAATGCACCATTTCACAAAAAAATCGACGCTGAATAATTTTAGGTTTATAAAATTATTGTGGTTTTCTTATTTTTTTTATCAACATAGCGCATGTAAAATTTTATTGTTACTTTTTGTACCAAACAGTGTTGCGAGTCAACACATATTTATAATATTCATATTTACATCAAATTTTCGTTTAATATTCATATTCGCCTATTACAGAATTTTAAATTATCTTGAATAGATATTTTGATGTTTTGTCAAAATCGAATTATCTCAAACATTAATATTCATATTTTGTGGCGTAGTTTTGAATATAGGTCGACAATCGTTCCTTTGTTTGTGCGTTCATAGAGCACGTCCTAAAAATATCGCCACGTACCTCGGATACAGCTCGGTTATGCGATCGTCGACAGTATGAACAAACAAGTCACGCCGAAGGCACCTGTACCTTCGCTCGAAGCCAAGCAGCGCGCGATTCGGACGATCTACATAAAGATTCCCACGGGGGGGTCTCGATTCGGATCGTGTCAGTCCGCCCCGTGGAGCGAAGTCAATCCCAGCACGGCTTACACAGCGCCGCACAGGTGGCCGCGATCAAGATCGCGCGACGTGCGGTTGCACGTGTCGTCGTGAAACCGAGTAAACTGAATCGGAATATTTCTCGCGTCGAAGCGCGATCTCTCGCTTATCGAGTTCGCTCTACCGCGAAAGAGCTTTCTCGCGGCTGCGCATCGCGATCTTTTCCCGTTTTCGCCTGCATCTGACTCAATCTTGCCGAAGAGGGAAAAGGAAGCGCGAACGAATGGAGCGCACACGTCGACCGTCGGCATCGGCGTCGTCGTCGCGACAATAGCCGAGGGCAATTTCCATCCGACATCCGGGCGACATATCGGGACGAGACTCTCGTCGGCTTGTTTGCATTTACCTCGGCTGTATCGTAAAACGGGACTGGCAATGAATGGGACGTAGGGGGAGCCTGACATCAGTCAGGCAAAAGCTGCTGCTGCTTCACTTCCTCGCCCTTTTCCCTTTCTTGCTGCCTCTCTCGCTCCGTCTGTTGTATAGCAGCTCGGGGCTATGTACGAAAGAATAGATCTGCGCAATGCCACTCGTGCAAAAATACTCTGTTCGCAGTTAATGAAAATTAATACCTATCAATTTTTTTGAAACAAATAAAAAACATTGCACATTATAAAAGCACATAATATTTTAAGCGTCTATGTTGCTGCTCTTGAAATTGGTCTATTCGCTTTAAAAATTCTTTGAAATGTACATATCGCTCACGTATCTGTTTTTCTGCTTGCAGTGCCACCGGCGAAGCCGATAATCTATGACGCGAAGAGGCGAGACATGAGCAAACTCCTCGAGGCTTACCCGGAGGGTGCTGACTTATTTCTGGTCTGCGAAGTACACGGCGGTAAGTGTCAACTGTAACGTCAACACAATTTGATATGTATTTTTAACATTTTACTAACATAAGTAAATGTTTCGAAAGAGGCAATTAAGCCGCGCGAAACTTTTTAATATTTTAATATTCAATTTTAATTGTGCGCTGAATTCTGAAAGGTTAAATTCATATTGAATTCATAAGGTCTTGTGCTCGATTTCATTGTATTTAAGGAGCTTAACATAAAATCTTATAAAGTCTATATAAGTTATATAACGTTAAAATATCACAGAAACAAGTTTGGAGAAAAGGAAGAAACAGAGCGAGCGATTGTTGTTGTTTTTTATCCAATTTGTATACAATTTAACAAACGCGTTACATTAACTTTACACGATTGAAAATGACTTATCTCGATCAGAGAGATTCCGACTTGAGTGCCACTGGAAATCGTCTCGCGAATAAACGATCACGCGCGCGAATCGCTCGAGGAAACGACGAGGGACGTAAACGTACGTCGTGCGTGCCGAACGAAAAATCCCATCTCGCCGAAGAAGCAGCGCGGGTATTCACTGGCGCGACGCCAATTCCATTTAGAGTCCTCGACACAACGCACTCGAGGAGACCGCCGCCGCCGCCGCCGCCGCCGCCGTCGCCGCCGCGAACGGAGCGCGGTAGTAGAGATGGATCGCGAAGTCGTAGAAGAGCGGTGGGACTTAAAAGAGTCCGTTTGCTTTTTCCCGTAGGCACCGAAACGACGCTGGGCGTCGTGTCGCGCGCGCCGAACGAATCCATCCTGGCCCTACGCCAATTTTGATCCTTTTCCCTTGAAACTGCCACCCCGTTCCCCGACGCACTCGCCAGGAATCGTGCGCTCGCTTCCGTCGTCGTCGGAAATAAATTATATCGCAGTTGCGATCACGCCCGAAGTTCTCTCCCGCGATGACTTAAGAATCGGAATTTTTTGTTAATTGATTCGAAGCGATTGTGCGCATCGAGAATTGTCTCATGAATTTTAAATGAAATAGTTTCGAGATCGGTGCTGTTGTTGAATGTCGCCAAAGCGCACAACAATTTCGCTCTGAAAGCTTCAAAACTTTTTATTTGAACAGTGCAACTGCTTCGCGCCAATAAAGATTTCAAAATAGTAGCTTCTGAGCGGAAGCACTGGACCTCAGAGGATTAAATTCCGGCGTTTCTTCTACCGGAGATATATCACGTGAGAATTTCAGAGTGCGACGCCTTCCCCTTTTCGTCTTCTTGACAAAAGTCTGCAGATAACCGAGTAAGAACACTTTTATCTCTTTCTATATTAACGTCTTACGGAAATGGTAAATGTAGGAAGAGATGAGAAGTTTTGGTATCCAAGAAAAATCAAGCAGGAGAAGAGGGCGGAAGTGACCTCGCAGTTTGCCGTGCTGTTGTGTAATCAACTTCTTGAAAAGCCGCCAAATTCGATTCAGGGATTTATAGAAGCGCTCAGCTCTTCCAACGACGCAAGGCATCTTTATTTATGAACGCATTTTCAAAAGCATTGATTAATTATTTAACTATTATCTTCGGCATTGAGTTTTTGGCAATAGATTTGACAATTGATCGAATAACATTGAAAAAAAAAAAAAGAACTGTAGAAATTTTTTACGGTCCGATATTTTTAAATCGCGAAGCGCGTCATGGCGATGACCCAGTATCTCCTTGATAAAAATACAAAACAATCGAGATCAACAATCGAGAGACGGAGATATGAACCTTCTCCTTCGAAGACTCGAGAGGCAGAAGATGAAAAGCGCGCCGGCAGAAGATTAACGTATAGTTGACTTCGGATTTCGTCGTCGTGCGGAGCGCGATGAATCCGTTGGATCCGTGCCAATCTCCACCGACATTGCCGAGCCACTATTTCCAGTTTAACACGAGCCGCGACCTCCCCGTCCCCTCGCGCGATTCCGTCGTGGGATTACGAATTGTTTCGAACCAAGTTTCATTTCCCGAGAATGTTCGATGCCTTCCGCGAACCGACTGCACGTCGCGAATGTATTGCACGTCGATACTATTGAATTTCAACGAACGGCAGATAAATAATTAATAGCCCGCCTCGGCATCGGCTGGCTGTTGAAATACTCATTAGGCTCTTGTAATCGGAGAATCTAGTCATATAATAGTTTCAAATGTACGTATGTAACTGGAGAAATTCTCTCAAAAAGGGAAGTTATTAAAAGCCGGAAAATAACACTCCCGTGTGCATTTTAAATATCAATTTTAATATCAATTTTCTCTTCTGTCAGTGCTCAATTTTTATGTATAGCATTCTTTCAATTCGCAACTCTCTCAATTGCAAGTAGAAGTAGTTGTTATCTTGAAAACATTTTTTCATGTGTAAAATTTAACGCGAACAAAAGCAACAATATGCACGTGTTTTCGACGCGAAAATATTCCGCAAATCGACCATTTCGGATGTCGCGATATTTTTCAAGAATTTCAAAGATCGACGATTGCATTCGCATTCCGCGTGGCATGGCAATAATTTGAAATTATTGCGCATCCCCCAACTCGCTTCGTCTTTCTATCTCGCCCTATTTATTGTTACCATTGTTGCGTTTTCTTATTTATTATTACGTTCCTATTGTTGCGCCTTGTTGGGGATTCCTGTAAGATCGCCCGTGCGGTTCATTCAGCTTTCTTTTTTGCGAAACGTTTTTTCATCCTCGAAACGGACGAGGATATCGTGCTCAGCCTTCTTAAACGAATAAACAACCTTAACTCCAACAATAGCGAGATATTTTTAATAACGCTAACAGTGTATACGTTGTTGTACAAAAGTATTTTTTCCTCGCTAATAATGTTTAACTATCAACTTTTGACTTATTTGGTTTTTATTTGTGTAAATAACGAATTTCTTGAACGGTTTTTCGCTCTGAGGAGCGTCGAATTACTCGGCGCAAAAATTAGGCTGAAATAGTATAATTCCCCAGTCGCCGCAGCGCGACGCCGTTTTTGCAGCCGTTGCAATTTCACCTTTCGCCGCGCTTCGGCGTCGAGCGGAAACGTTCTCTCCTCGGGACAGGTGATTTGTCACACGAGAACGAAACGAGCTCGCTTCGCCCGACTTGCTGCGGGAGTTTTTCGCGCGCGCGTACAGGTAGCTGATGACTTTGGGGCGGAAAGCTCGTGACGAAATGCGAGATGTGAAGAAAGGGAGAAGCGAGGTGAGCAAGAAGGAATGCCGCGACATCAGGCGGAAGACGCGTCGAGCGCGAACTTTTCGGCGCATTTGTATTACCGCGTAGTAGGGCAACCCTCCCGTCCGCTCTTCTGATCTCTTCAAGAACAGCTGATTGCTCGTATTTCTCATTCGCCGGAAAATCTAGAGCGCCACTTGTTTGCACGGTTTTTCCGCTCGTTGCACCCTTGTAAACTTCACTGCGTTTTCCGACTTTTAGCAACCTATTTCTTTTTCCTGCTCGTTTTATAATGTCCGTCTGGGAGGATAATCTTCTCCTGTCGCGTTTTTGTATTTACAACTTCAAATATTTTCGTAACTAAAACAGAAATTCAAATTTTATTCAAACAAATGAATTTCAGAATTAAATACGGAAAATATTTTTATTACACTCACGTTATTACATCGATACTGTAAATTCATTTCCGTCAAACATATGCATTTATATACATTTGAAAAGCATCTGCGCATATATTTACTCGGCTAGAAGTTGCAGATTGCGCTTTTGCGAATTTATTTCCCTCCACGTCAATGAACGCGGTAATTACGCGCGCCTTTTTGCAAACAACGCGAAAACCTCTTTTGCGCCGGCGAAACTATGAAAAGCATTTGGATATGGCGTGTATATGCACATTTATAATACCGGCTCCGCAAAATATAATACATTCAAGCCAATTTTATAATGCAAAATTTGTCGTTCTTGCGATAGTCCATAAATTTAGAGAAAGATGAAAATTTAGAGACAGAGGAAAAGAGAGGAATAGCTCAAAAAGAGTGCGAATATTTTTGCGGCTTAATTCAAGGTTTCATATGAACACTCATGCACGGCGTACGCTCAAGCTCAAAACCATTGGCCAATATGAAAGGAAATAAAACGACCGCTGAGTGGAATACTAAAATTGTCATTACTGAAAATATTGTTCTCGCGAAGTATTCCACGCGAATAACAACCGTTCGACGCTCCCAGTGGTTATTAATTCCACGTGTTTCGAAGAATTAACGGCTTTCAGCGTGGATATCAATAAAACGATATTTCGAACGTTCACTTCGGAAAAGAATTTTTTGATGCATATTACAATATTATATTACTTGCTGTACATAAATCGCTTCGGAAATCATACGCGGACCATTTTAGCAAAAAGTTAAAAAATAATTACAATAATAATATAATAACAGTGATCTATCGATATGATGATAAAAACAACAATATGGAACAACTAGGTGTAACAATAATAATGTAAGTTTATAATAAAAAGCAATTTTATAAAACAATATAGTAATGATAAACAACACAGAATTTATATAACAAAAATATTGCCAAAATTATAATACATAGGAAATACAAGAGAGAGAGTATACAAATAGTGCGTGGCTATGTTAAAAATAAACATTTAAAAGAGATATTTATTTTATTGCATATTTACAAATTTTTATTGCATTGGTTAGTAAAGTTTTAATATGAAAAAAAAGAGATTACGTTTTTTAAAAATATTTACTAAAGTTTTAATTATTTTCTTAAATTAATAACACACCTATGCAGAGCAGTATAATTAATTTTTGGATGTTTCCGTTTATTTGTTAAAATTAACTTAACGCCTTAATTGCACGTCTACATTATGCAACAAAAACTATTAAGGACGAAAGATATTTTAGATCTTCAAAAATCTTACGATAATGAGTTTGCTGATTAGATTGACATTGATCAGCAATACTGTATTATAATTGATAGATTACGACACTCTCTCTCTCTCTCATAAATTACGGCACTGTGACTGGTAAAAATCTCGATCTGTCACCGACTTTCGGCTGGAATCTCAGATTTATTTTTTGGTCATCGTCGCCAACTTCGAGAAAACTATTCCAGTCTACAAGAAAATACAACCCGCTTCTTCGCCTGGTCGGTAAGACGGGATCCGGTGCACGAGTGGTACCGCCAAAGGATTCCTCCAGTGCCACGAGATTTGTGCCTGTAGATGTTGATGACGTTGAAGCCGGTGTTGATGCACCCACGAGGCCTGAACTGTCTCTCGCGGAATCTGAAGCCGTCGTCGTGGTTGTGGTAGTTGAGATCGTTGTCGTGGAAACATCCGTAGATTCTGTCGACAAGTTTCGCAATAAATCTATTCGATTTCATTTCGCATTTGCGAGTGAATTCGCTACGCTTTGTGATAAAAAAATACGAAAGTTGCATGGTGATTAAAAAGGACATCCAAAATTTCGACGTATCTACTAATAACTATCTAATAATATAATTTAAAAAGTAAAATTATGAGAATTTAAATCTTGACAAATTTAAAATTATGAAATGTTGATAAGGATTATCGTGTTTGCAGAAAATGTCGGAAATGATAACAAATAACATCGAGTGCAAGTGATAATAGTTGAAAACACGTGAACTTTAAAGGAAAAAAATGGGAAATTAACACATTGGCGTGTTATAAAAAACACGTTTGCTAAAAAAAGTGAAACAAGACTTTAATTTCAACTTTGTTAGTAGCATAAGAGCTATCGCAATTTTCCTGAACTTATATCACTTTACTTCGTTATTTTATTATAGCGGTATTGCGAAAGAAAAATATTTCTCAGAAAAGTAGATAATAAATTTTATTTATCTCCAATGCGATTGACATCACAATGATGATATTCGTACGTGCGACCGCATCTAGCATTCACATGCAACATTTACGACGCACATTGCTTCAGAGGCAAAGAACGCGCGATGAAAATTGTATACCGAGCTGACAGTAATATATGCGAGTAGAAAAAAAATCTGCATGTGTGTGAAGAATTGCCTTGAGGACCGACACTTTAATAGATTGCACGCAAAAGCAATTTATTGAAACTTACCGTGTTGCATTAATTTGCAATTTTTTTTAAACTTTACGTGAAAAGAAGTTAGATATTACAATTCGACCTCGATTGCTCAATTTTTACTACTATTCAATGAAAGTAGAGCATCATAAAAGAATTGCTTAAAACTATATTATTAATATAAGTAAGCTCTTGTATGAAAATATATACCTGTAGATTGTGATGTCGTCGTAGTGTTCGCGAGATCCTGATTGTCATTAGTGGTAGTCTCGGCCGTTTCCTCTGGATTTTGTCGTCTTATTACTTCATTTTTTACATCACTATTATAAATACTAATTTCTTCTAGATTATTGAGTTGCGGTAAGGTCGAATCCTGGCGACTCAATTTTTCGACTTCATTGTTTATTCGATCGTTCGAGCTCTTAAGGTCGATTCTTAATGGAAGATCATCGCAATGACTTAAACCGAGGACGATCAGTATGCAAAATAGCGTAATCTATAAAAACAATAATTACTTGTACTAAGCAAGAAATAGCAACAAAAAAAATGAGACATGACATTCAGTTTTTGTTATAGTTTCTAACGCCAGATGGCATAGATTTTTATTTTTTTATACAGATTTCAATTATATCTATAAGATGATAAAATGATAACAAATTTCTACAAGATATTTAAAAAATCATCTACATATTATTAACTTATCTAAATAATTGCTTTAATAAATTAAAGAGAAATCAATGATGTATGTCAGTAATATTTTTCACATTCATGAGAAAGTGTAAATATTACAAAACAAGCCTTGACTGGATGTCAAAGGATATAGTTGAATAATTTATAGTCTTGATTCTCTTTCGTAATATTTACATCATTCGTGATGCAGCTTATTTTCTTAGATGTATAAGATGATCATAGTCGTTTGCATATTATATACGTTAAATTCTAGAACATTTTTATAAGTGAATTGAATTTGTTTGTAAGCAAATTTCTATTAATCAAATTTTATGATACTATTAATTACAATATTTGTTGGTTTATATATGTTTTTCGTCACATTATTGCTTCTGTAGGTAAAATTATCCAAATAATTATATACAATTTTCTCTAAAGCGCTACATTTATACAGCAATTTTAATCGAAAATGTATATAATAACGATGATAACAAGGTCGCGTCCAATTCTTATATCATGAAGCGCAATATATTTTTTGAACAAGTTTTACTTAATTTACTTGATATAACGAAAAATAAGCGTGATGCGTAATTATGCAGCATTAAACACGCGATGAATAAGCGAACGATAAAATCTGGAAAATGAAAGTTGCTTTCGCCCGCATAATAATCGCCTGACAAACCAAAATTTAGTGATTAAATTTATATTTTTGCCACAATATTATATAATTCATTTTATGACAAGAGATTTCCATTCGTAATTATAGTATGTTGACATGCGACAGACGTAACAGAAATTTCCAGTCGTTATTGATTGAAAATAGGAAACGATAGCTACAAAACAGTGAAAGTACTTTTGATTGAAAATTGAATCGCAATATTTGCCGATAGGATGCCAGATTGAGAAATAATTATGATTGTATAGAAATAAAAAATGTGTTTAACGAGCATATAACAAAAATGTTGTCCATAAGAACCAACTTTCACACTTTAACATTGATTTTGATAGTTTTTTTTATGCAATAAATTGATACACATCGCATCACACAGTAAATCCAACATGTGTAATGTAAAATTTATGCACAAAAACTGATAGTATTCTCTTTTTTAGAAACACATGGTGTGTCTCTCAGTTGAAAACTCGAATACTCGAGAACTCACCATTATGCCAACCAATCACTCACACACGCGGTCAGCAACTGACTGAGCGGCTTAAGACCTACTTTCGAACTCTCTCTTTCTATATTGCTCACTTGATTTTCCTTAGCCGCGCTGACGTACGAATGCGTGTCCATTTTGCTGGTGAAGCAAGCTGTTAAAGCCGAACACGTTCTAATTCAAGAAATCGGCGCGAAAAGTGAGAAGTAAAAAAGAGATTTAATTTAAAATATTATTTTGATGAAAAAAAGTTAAATCTTTAATAACGATTGATTTTTAAATGTTTGGTCACTAAGAATGTATCTCATAACAATAATTTTAGTTTACAATAAAAAGTAGTTTTATGAAGAGATGAGAACAGCACAAAATTCAGCTTTAATAAAGCCGGTAATAGTTGTAGGATTATAGTTATAGGATTCATTGTCAGTTTTAGCTATGATCGCCGATTTACCAACGGGCTCGGCAAGTTCTTCGAGTTGCAGGTTGTACGCTTGGCCGGTAATCGCGGTTTATTCGCGGCATATGATTTAGCACAACGCGGCACAGGTTCGGCGTAGTCGGTTTATCGAGGTACGGGCGCAACGTCAGCGAGAAATAAAGACCCTATTAATGCGAGAGCGGGATTAGCGTAGTTCGCAGCCCCGGTTGCAGCTTTCGTGGCTGCTTGCATCCCATAGCTCGCGGTCCCGAGCTTTCGTATAACGATTCGAGTCATCGTTTTCAGCCATCGGACTCGCGCCCGGCCGGATATTACTCGCCGCCCCGGAATAATCGTTACTTAGTTGTCCCCGAGGATGTCTCGCCGGATAAACGGAAAGCGGAACGTATGACTGACCCAAAGCGCTATGCGCCAATTCCGGACAGCACAATGCGCCATTTTGTATTCCATTATTTGCCGAATATAAAGCCGGATAATATGTGTGCGATTGTGCTATTAATATAGTTTAATTATTTCTAATGATGTAGCGTGATTAATTTCATAGGTATAAATTTCTCGAATGACCAATTTGTATTCTCTCTTAACTAAATCAAACTTTTTTCGCTTGTACACTAACGCGCACAACACGCTGCACAAATTATAATTATAATTACTGTGTTGCGGTCTGTTCAAATGAAATTGTAGTGTGAAAGGTACTCTCTGTGCGAGCAAGTTATCATTTCAAATGAGTGTCTCTGGTATAGGATACAACATGGCAATTTGGTGCACTGAGTACCCATGTTTGTAATGCCCTATACTGACGTAAATCGCCTTCCGTCTTCCTTAATGTCACTATCCTTAGACGCGAACAAGGAGCTACTACAAAAAGGGGATTGTCGCTTGTTACCGCTTGCGAAGAGAAATGTATCTGCGAGACAAGGTACAAAAACGGAGATGCGAAGACCGTATCTGAGAGTACGTAGCGATCGAGCAGCGGTGAACACATAATCGTTTTACGAATCGATCGTTTCTATTGTCTATATGCATTTTTTCTATTTTTAAATTGAACGCGGAACAATACATTTCTCTTTCCGTACAATTATTGCATTATTAACCGTGTTTCGTCTGCATGACAGCGTAACAACGATTTTGGCGCGTTCGTAATAAAATAAAATGCGCTTTTTTCCTCCTTTTTTCGTTTTCTCGCGTTCATGGCTGATGCAACTGGATGGCTCGAGCGCGGAATGCACCGACATGTCCGTCTCACACAATGCACTTCCGACACTTCGACCGGCCCGAACACGGCACTTTACGACAGGCGCAACAAGCAGTGCGTCTGCAGAGATCGCGCGAGCTGGCAACGCGAGCCGAGTCGGACGCAAAACGCGGCGGACAGCTCGAAAAGGGACGTCGGTGCGGGATAAAACTCGACGTGACGCGTTCCTGTTTACTGTACACGCCGGAGCTGCATATGCAAAGCGAAACTTTCCATCCATTTGATACATGGTGTTTCAAAACATGCGATATGCCAATTTTCGCGCAAAATGCAGAGAACAAATGAAATATATCGCTTGATACGTCGTGTCATGCCTACATTTTCGTTACATTTTTAGCCTTGAATGCGGTTGTCCGTTTAATGTGCGTATCACGTTGACATTAAACATGATGATTCTCACGTTAGATAGATTTTTTGCAACAATATAATAGTAAGCATATTTTGCATTTTGTTGCTGTATATAATTCCAGAAAATTGATTATTCTATAATTTTAGCCATTTTAATAAGAAGCAATTTTTATCATATCGTAAATTAATAAGTGAGTGTAATTAATTGGGACAGTCAGAATGTGTTGCTATTTTATATTATTTTTTAAATTTACTTTAAATTTTTCTATGCTTCATTTTGAAACGACCTATATTAGAGCATTCTTGGTTCGCTCGACTCGCGAGAGGATAGTAACAGCGATGGGTTTTAATTTATTTTATTGTGACATAAAATCCTGCAAAATGCATACCGTCCCGTACGAGCTGACCTCGTTGACCTCGTAGCGTTATCCTCGTAGCGTTGTCCTCGTTGTTAGTTCTGCGATATCTTCGCATACTATGTAAAAGACTTTCCTGCTGCAAGAGGCGTTATTTAAAGATCCGAAAGAAAATTAACCGATTCATCCTAAAGTATTTATATCATATCTTCTAAAACAAGTTATTTTTGAAAATTTATCGCTGTGGATAAATAAAAAATTAAAGTTTTGTTAGCAAGAGTACGTTAATTTTTTATTATTTTTCGAATGTTACATGTAATTTTGGAACTATGCATCGTGCACTCAATATGAAGTTAAATATGAAATTAAATATCAAATTAATAATAACGATTTTACGTCGAGTTTAACATTTCCAAAGATTTTTATTTCTGTCGCGCAGTTTTGACACGAAATAATTCACCATTGTAGTGACGAAATTATTCTTCCCTTAAAATGCGAAACTTTGCAAATAAATCCACTGTTAATATTTCTTTTTTATTTTACGCCCGCGTTGTGAGTGGTAAAGTTTGTGGTAACTCATACTTCGTCGGATTTGTATTTGTACATTTTGCGATTCTTAGCGATAATGCTTCTTTCATTCCGTTTTGAGGTGGAAATAGTTGGGACTAGGAAATTTGCACACAGTGTGTCTTGCAGAAATTCAAAGTCCGCCATAACGCATTGGCTGTAATTCCTAATATCAACAGAACTTTGGGCTAGAGCATACCGAGAGAAACTACTGCACGATGATGTTCGACAGATTTGCATTCTGCAAACGCTCTCTAAAAAGGAAACTTTGTGTAGCCAGCTGGTATAAGTTTATATTCTATAACTTTATATTTATTTCTAACTTGCCATTGAGTGTTTAAGTACGCACCTTTGCTCGTGAACATCTTTAATACATTACGTAAATGTTAACAAAAATTAATTACCTTATCGTTTTACATATTTGCCATCCAACGTTAACTTTACTTCATTACTCTTCAAAATTTACCCAATTTAGATAGCAAGCAAACCATATTCATAAAATCGGGTTTCTATTAATCTGGCTGTTTGCCACCATAGATTTTTATCAAACTCTAGAGATATTTAACTTTTCAACTATATATTTCACGACGTATACAAATTTTACTGCGACAAACTTGATAAAAAATTTTTATTTAAAAATTTCTCGCGAACAATAACCGTTATTTTTTAACTCCATTTTCAGAAAACAGTCAACTGCCGTCGTTTTAAACAAATAAAAGCTCCGTAGAGACATTTTCAATGTAAAGTTGATTCTTTCATTCGTTCAGCAAAAGCCTGCCACGCGTATCGTCACGTAAAGTTCAGCGGTGAAGTTCGCTTCGGATTTCTTCTCCAATCACACCGCTCTTGTGCGCGGCTTGTGGTCCTCGATTCAACGCGACCGTTGAAAATAATTGACCCGACTCTACTCGTATTTCGAGTACTTGCCGTCACATAAATGCGAAAGAGCGAGCAAGCAAGCAAGCAAGCAAACGGACGAGCGAGCGACCAGCCTCGCGCGTTTAAAACTGGCTTCGCTCCGAGTATATTCTTCGTAAAACGGAACGCCGCCGACGCACCGCGCCACGCCACACCGTGCCGCGTCGGCCGCTCATTCTACCGCGTATTGTTACCACACAATACACCGTGTATTTCCAACGGTTGTTTTCCACCGCCCCCGCGTCGCCGCCGCCGTGGCCGCTGTCCGCCGCTGCATTGTCAGCGCGGCCGTTGCATCGAACGCAATTTTACAGCGTCACGGCGCGCGTTGGTCAGGGCGAAATGTTTGTTTTAACGCGACCTGCAGCTATAACTACTTCTCTCCCTCGCCGCCTCTTTCTTCCTCCCACCCATTCGCGTTCTTCATTCTTCTCATTTCATGTTGACGTTTCTATTCTCGCCTTCGTATTTTCTAGAATGCGTACACATCTCGCGCATCCCACTTATGTCTCGTCTTTACACCATCCGAAAGAATAAACGCGTTTTACGCACTAATTATAAAAAAAAATATTCACAAAACAAAATGTTTAGTGAAACTCGAACTAAAGCTGTTCTGTTTTTATATGAATTTAGACAAAAGCGTATCGACGGTTATCGACTAAAGTTTAATATTGATAGTAGTGTAATAAAATATTTGTTTAACTTTGTTCAGTTATCGCTTTATTGAATTGATAGTTTATTGTAGGATTATTTGTTTATATTGTACTACCATCGAAACTATTATTAAATATTTTCCGCCACGCAATATCGCAGATTTCGCGATGCACACGCTAACGTGATTGCGACTTACAGCTTTATATGATTGTTGCTTCATTTTACTTTATCGCTTAAATTGTACAGCGGAAAAATTGCCGGAATTGGAACGTGAAATAACAGAATGACAACCGGAAAATGGATATTAGCGCCGTAAAAGTATCCGTGCAAATACATCCTGTATCGTTGTTTTACGTTTCTTAACGAGAACGAACGGAAGTGAGTGCGACGCGGCGATCCCGAGTGCGTTTATACGGTAATGTTGTTTGAAACGCTACAATGTCATAAAAATACGACAGCGTGCGACGAGGTATAACACGGTAATGAGTTTAGTTCACAGCAACGTTTAATACATAGCACATTTTTTAAGCGTGCAACACAGAAGTCGTAATAAACATAATAATACGCGCCGCTTTGTTATTCGGCATATATAATTTAAAGCATTTTTCACTCTCTTTTAAACACTGCATGGCGGATACAAAATCTTAACTTTGCACATGGAGCAAGGTTATTTAGATAATTGCTTGAAAAAAATTAAAATAAATTTGGAAACGTGAAATTTAATTTGTGAAGAGAGTATTTATCTTTAAATTATTTATAATTCAAAATTATCGACGATAGTTCTCTTTCGCATTACTTGTCGAGAAAGAATTTATGGTCACACCTTATACGCCATATTTCATGTATTACGATTGTGAAGTGCGCTCTAAAGCGAGGTCGTTGGGAAACGCAAGGAAACGGATGGAGAAAAGCCCTCCGAGATACCACCAGCGGGATATATTTGTATCCTATGCAGCGGCGGGGAATTATCCCACGGGGAACGATGAAAATGGTGGTCTCGATGGCGGAATTAATTATAGTATAGAGCTTAATGAACACTTATTATCACCTTTTTCAGACAGAGCTTAGAGTTATCTCGCGGCAAACAAGAATTTTCGTTGTCGCGACAAGAAAAATATTACAAACATTCGCAATGGTACCTTTAAATGTCAACCGCGTTAATATTCTTATTTTGCAGGTTTTTGTCGAATATAATGTGATTCTAAATTCGATCAAAAATTAACGTTAAGATTTAAATTTTCAAGCTGCTCTATATATGAGATTTTAATGAATTTTATTAACATGTAAAATATTGCAAAATAGATCAATTATATAAGTAGGATAATTCATATACTATTTAATAAAAGAATACACGAATTAAAATAGAAATAGAATATAGAAATGTATAATATAGAATATATTGTATAACAGAAAACAAAATTAAGATAGAAATGCGAATCAATTGAAGAAGAATTACAAAGTTGCAACAGCAGACATCGTTTGATTGTTGCCTTATTTTTTAGCATCGACATTTTGATGCACGCTTGCAGTGAGCACAATTGTGTGCATTAATTAGAAGGTCTCCTCGGATTATCCAGCACGCAACAGACACGCTTCCTGAACGCGCACAGGGTAGCTTCGATTTCGCGACGGGACGCCTGTTCATTTCCTGGTTATTGTTTAATGAACGTGTAGTCCGAGAAATTAATGCGATTTCTGTGCATTGTACCTGGGAAATTAACGCGATTGTAGATAATACGTGTCCCGCCATAACGGGCATGTAGGATTACCTGTTTGTTTCTTTTCGTACTTCCGGTGCGCGTCCGTTGTTAGGCTCATTTATAATCTACATTTGATAAATTATTTTATGCCTCGAGTGTTTTATGTTCCGCTAAAGCCTATCTCGCAAAATATGCGAATCCATGTCACTCGCGCATTAAGAGAACAATGTAGAGAACATATATCTGCATTTGTTCTAATGTTGCAAGTCAGAATAAATTATAATTCGGCAAATCTCGAGTTAAACTTGGTGCAAGTAAAACTTTGAAATTTAATAAAAAAATAAAACTTTTATTAATTGTTTTAAAAATTAAATTTTGATTGAGCAAACTCTCTTTATTAAGAATTGCATTATAAAATTCTTTACTGAGAGATAAATTTTTGTTTTGCGAGACAGTTTTTTTTTTTTCAAACATTTTTTATTCATTTTTACTTAATAAATGTATAATTAAAAGAGGAGGACGGAAAATTAGAGACATATTATCTGAAAATATGAAACTAGGAAAATAAACGGAGAGAAAGTCGTTAATTAAATGCATAACATAAGGATTCTAACATTGCGCTTCAGAAACTAGCTATGCAAATGCCAGTCTCCGGATTATTAATGTAGAGTTCTAAGCGAGCAAATAGCCGTTTCTAATTAGTACCGTTCTAACTAACTATCAGTGTCAACGATCACGGCTTTCGCCAAGATGTATACACAACGTCTCTTTGATTGGATAGATATCCAGGTAGACAGCTATAGGACAGTCGGACGTTTGTGAGCTATATAGATAGATGGTTCATCTAGAATAACTGTTGATTAGGCGGCAGGTATATCCGTTAATATCGAGCATCGCTCAATAGTACACGACGCTGTTTGCTCGTACAATGGTACTGTTTACTACGAGGCGTCTTCGGAATTGGAAACGGAGACTTCCTTCGAAACAAGAATTCTCATCTTTCGCAATATCATTCTTGCGTTTGAAATCAAATTCTTGCTTCAAATTACTTTCTCTGTAAAAAATTAAGGGAACCGTTTGAAACTGGTGATATAGGAATTTTTTGGAAATTATTCTTTATTGAAAAAGTAATAGAATACTGTTTTGTGAAACAAAACGAAGAAATAAGAGTGCTAGTCAAAAGAAATTTTAAACAGAAATGTTTTATGCATTTTTAGAAATCATTATTTCACGTACATCTTTCGTAGTAAAATTGCGAAATTAATATTTAAATGGCATATTTAAAAGAACAGAATTCTTTTCCAAAAAATTGCTAGAGAAAAGTATCATCAATTATCATGATTTACATTAACATGTGAAACAGAACGAAAAAATAAGAATACTCTAGTCAAAAGACATTTTAAACAGAAATGTTTCATGCATTTTTGGGAATCATTAATTATCAGATTCAGATTTTGTATAAAAATTGCGAAATTAATATAAAAAAAGTATATATAAAAAGAATGGAATTCTCTCTCAAAAATTGCTGGGGAAAAATATCACTAATTATCATATGACTTATATTAATGTGCAAATTCGCGAGAGACCCATTTTGAATAAACAGAACTGAGAATTTCCCTTAAACTTATCCCGCATATATAATCAGTCTCGGACTGCTTTATTGTCGGAGCCGGTTTATTGTCGCTTCCGGTTTACAATTACCATTTACAAGTAGTCTCTCGCGGCGGATGACTCGCTATGCCAGTTTGATAGTTTACCAGCTTCCTTACATTCTGCACGACAAGTTGTATCTTGCTAATTAGTTAGCAGTAAATTAGTGCAATGTCATGAGTTACGTGCGCCACCTTCAATGCATCCGTCCGTGAACGTGGATCTCTTCTCGGAAGTTTCCGGGATCTTCCGTATTCAGGTCCATTTTGGCCATAATTAGCCGTAGCAGTCGGCGGCGGTGAGCCGCAAGTACCGGTCTATCCTCGAGATCGAGAGACGTGGAGCGCCTCCGTACCGTTGTTTCGGCCGAATGAAGCTCATCCGCCGTCGTGATTGACGGTGACATCCACGACGCGGCCCTTGGGACGCGCCGTTCGAATTACCCTCGCTGTCGACCGGCTCATTGGCAGAGGAGTAATGACAGGCGTTGTCCCGCCAGCACCGATAGCTTTCTTTCAATCCCAGGTCGATGTTACAGTCCTCACGACATGACGAATTTGTCGAACATGCTAATTAACATTGGCGATAACATAGGGGATTTTGCCGCAAAAGGGATTTTTTGCTTACAACAAGTTTCTTTATTTAGAAGCTAATTATATTACTTTTGAACAGGAAAATATTAGACTTTTTTAAATAAATTTTTTATATTTATAATTGAAACAGGTGGAGTAATTTCGTTAATGCCGCATTTTTTGCGCATGATGGAATAATTTAGAACAGAACACATGCGTTTTAATAATATAGAACATTTCTTTGTTAATGGGATACTTTTGGTTCAAATTTTAAGTATGAGATATCACAAAAGAGATTGTATTTAATTAAATTCAGTTCTGGTTATTAATTTTCTACAGAAGATAATATTAGTATAATAATTTATGTTGTTTTATTCGACTTTTCTAATTATAACTTTGCTTTATCTCTGCAGGTAAACCTAGACCGCAGGTCTCGTGGTATCTGCAATCGCAGAATATTCAGGCGTCCACCGAGGTTCGAGAGACGCAAGGGCCGGGCGGCGAGACCAATGTCGTAACTATCAGCAACGTGACTGTAAAGGCTCTCACGAGGGGGCATCATCACGCCAAGTTGTCCTGTCGAGCGAATAACACTCAATTAGCACCGCCGCCTGCCACCACCGTCATCATAGAGCTTAACAGTGAGTACGCTCGTTCCAATTAACGCTAATTGCGAACGACCTGGCATCGCGTCGACCTACTCTCTCCGTGGAAATAAGTTTTTTTTTCCCAGAGAGCGAGCCTAATCAGGCTGCGAACGTCGTCACTTCTTTATTTACGAGAACGAGAAAGCGTAAACGAAAGAGGAAATGAACTAATTTCAGCAAGGATAAGAATCTACGTTTTACGTAGTTTTCTCCATTCCGAGTCTATAAAAACATCGGAATTTCCATAGTGTATCGAAGCTCCGTTCGAACGCAAATTATACAACATAAAGGAGAATTGACGGTTTTTGTGCGTCAAGAACTCTTTACTTGCTCGTAAAATAACGATTGCAAATCACTCGATCGCATGCACGGCTATTATGCAAGTACAAAAAATATCGAATATTTTCCCCGGAAATGTCTCAAATTTCCCGGATAGCAGCGGAACAAGATATGCGCGTTATAAATATGCAAAAGCCCGTCAATTTCCACGCGGCGCGATACTTTCGACCGATTTCTGTTCCCCCCCCCCCCCTCTTCATTGTTTTCCCTCCCCCTTCTCGTTCTCTATATCAGTATCAATATTTTCTCGCCGCGAAAAGAACTGGGTGAATATTTAACTGGCATCCGATTTGTCTGGCCCGGAACTTTTTTTCGAAAATAAAAGCGGACTCTCGACGAGACGAAATTGAAACATTTTTCACCGATTAAAAAAAGGGGGAGATCCGGTGCGGGGACAGGAGCGAGGATATCGGAGTCGAGGCTGCGCATCCTCCCGTCGAAAAGCAATCAACCCCCACGATGTCATTAATAACACCACTTTCGAAACCGCTCCGAAACGCGACGAATCGCACGACGCGGACAACATGCCGCGGTTGCGGCGGCGTTCGATTAATCTCCATGAAAAACAGAGGTAGAAAGGAAATATACGTAATTCTCCCTCCTCCCTTCATCCTCTGACCCGGAATTAACGGTGGAGGCCGGGGAAAATTGCGATTCGAGCTTCCTTTGGTCACGAAGTCGACCCGAGGCGAATAATTCGTTCGCAATTATTTTGAAACGTATGTAAATTGTAATGAAGAGTTCGTTACTCGCGAAATTGTAATATGTATCGCCATAATTACATATGGAAGCTGTTCATCGGCATAACGAATAGCTTTTACACATTTGTGTGCATTGACCGTCGCAAATGTAGCTTTATGTTAAGTATATTGTCAATATTATCCGTTTAGATACTTTTACGGATGACTCGATTATCACATTCACATTTGCTTTTTTTTTTTGCTTAACAATAGATATTTGTTAAGATCGTTTTTCGGCTGCGATGTCGAAAATTAAGAAAATTGCGAAAAATGATAACAGTCTAACGCAGTTATTGGAAAAATACGATTCGAGTGTTAAGTTTCCATTTGACGATGCAACGAACGTATGCGAGTACCTGATAGCGTATACCTAGCTTGTCAGATTTCGTTGGATGGATTGCTATCGCGCTTTGAAAAAAAGCGAGTTTCGAAAAATTGGGCGACGCAGAAAATGAAAAATTCTTCAATTTTCTCATCGACTAATTGACCATCGACTGTTCGTCAAAGGACGCAACTAGGGGACATTTTAATTGATCGGCGCGAAATAATTCCTGTCGGATTTGACGAAAATGGACGTCGCTCGAACACAAACAGATTGCAGCCATTCGCGTGTGATATCACTCTCGTCCCCAAAATTTAAAACTGTCCAGTCGTTCGAATTATTCATTGCTCGTCGTGCGCATGTAGACTCAGAAATAATTCCGAAATAGGATTTTTTATGTATTCAGTATCCCAGAAATTATTTGCCACAATATCTTTTCCACTAAAATTGGAAATCCGGGACTAAAATTTAAAAATCTAGAACTACAAAATTTATTTAGCAGTCTAATGAATTAAATTTTAATCTAATTTATTCATAATGAGACTATTTGCTATTTTAACAAACAACTCACAGCAGATTGTGTTTATTATTATATAATAGCACCAAATAATTTATGATGTAATTAATAATAATTGCTAATTGCTAAAATAATCTATCCTTATTCTATATTTTTTTGCACTTTTTGCTATCAGAGAATCTCTTCTAAACTTTTATAGACATTTTTAAATCTTGTCGGACATCCCTCTTCTTCTACGTCATCGCGATAACAGCCACGGAGGTGGAAAATTAATATTCATAATTGTATAAGCGGCACGGCGGCTCATCGGCACGCCCGAGATTCATCCGACAAGAAACTCGCGCGCCGGACAAACAAGTTTAAATTAAATCGCCGGAAGCTGCCTTGAGCAGAAAGATACGGGAATCCGCTCTGCTGAAGGAGAAGACTTGCCGTAGATTGCCTCAGAGACTCGCGTGATGTAAAAAGCTTGAGTACAAACGGTACGTTGTATCGATCGTGAAATATTTCAAACGTGCTCAATTACTTGGATTGAAAAGCGTGATACTTTCATCTTCTACAGTTGCAAGCTAGATATTTTTTGTTACATACTTTTTTTTGCCTGAAACGATGGTTATTCGAAGAACATTAATAAGGATTATTGGTAATGTCGTATGTTTTCTAATATTGAAATTCCATAACAAGTAGATTTGTACCAATGGTACCAGTATTTTTTAAGTAATCTAGGAGTAAATAAACAAATTAGAGAAATAAAAGAGATACAACAGAGATAATTTTTTCAATCGATTCTAAATAATTTGATAATACAAATAGATTGAAAGTAAATATGGACAGAATTAAAAAACGGGCTTCATATTTAAAGACCACATGCCCCATTCTCGATCTGTTAGCTTCTCTGATTAAATAAAATTTCCCGTTAGCTATGTTTTTTTATTAATTTGGAGCCTCATATAATGCGACTATAATTTTCGAAATATCGTGAAAACGTAATAAATCTCAAAGCGGAAAATACACGGGTACGATAACCATCCGATGTTGAGATCTCATTAAATAGTGTCGTAAGATTGCATAATTGGACGTAATACGACGCCAGTATTTCGATATCGTCGTGTATTTTGTTCTCTTTCTTTTTTTTTTTTTTATCGAGCCTGGTACATAGAAATTTATCTCGCAACTTCGCCTCTCGATTCTTCGCTAATTGGAAACTATCTGCATAATCACGTCGCGTCAATACGATCGTACGAAAACCTAACGAGTCGACGAAGAGCCTGGTGAAAGTGGATCGACTTGTGAAAATGGTTTCCGCGGTCGACAATGAAGTCAACGAATACACGGAGCTCGAGTGGATTGTTGTAGAGCTCTCGAAACCGCCACGGATGTGTCCCATTAATTTTTCATGCCACCGCCGGGGCCGAAGTAAAACCCGATGTATGCGCAAATAGTTCACGAGCGAAACGTCGTCGTTAATAGTTATTCGATAGCTTCGCGTAATGGAAATGGCGAAATTGGAATAGAATGCTATACGGATCTCTTGTATGTTGCGCGCGCTAATAGGAAGACACGCGATTATCTGAGAAATAAATCGGATTTGTCGAGAATTTATTTGCAGAAATGTTAATTGTACAGAATATTCCAGAAACGTTGCTGTTCCACCATCAATGAATTTTGTGTTAATAATAATTCATCTCTAATAATATTAATTAATATTAATAATTACTGCATAAACTATTATATATCATATTACTGTAATTTAGAGATTTTCTCGCAATAATTAGATGAACTTATAGTTATCTTAAATTAAGATATTTTTCTATTCGCAATTTTATTCATTGGACACAACTGCTATACTTATAAGATATTACCAATAGATTCGATTTGTGCAACTTTGCAATGAATATTTGCATTGAACAAAAGACGGGCAATGTTTCGCGGTACGAAACAGCAGAGAATATTGAGTTCTTAGCAGAGCTCGCCACTGAAGAAAAATATTGTATATTTTTCCATATATCTCGAAGCGGCATACCGCTATGAATTTTTATTATTTTTAGCAATGCGCTCTTTCCTATCCTGTCGCTGCTCATTGTTTATCTTATGATGTATTTCCCTGCAGAATCCACAGGGTTGCGTAACATCGCGTTGCTGACTCAACTATTGTAAAATCGTTCAGAATAATCTATGAAAATGGAAGTGTGTATAAAATGCAGCAAAATTAAACAATAGATCCATTTGGCAAAGTTTAAAAGATTTATATATACAGCCATTTGCATGAAAATTTAATGTATCTATTAATGTTCGGGCGCACGCGACCTAAATGCAGGACATGATGCAGGAATAAATTTGAAAGATAAATAACAAATACATAATAGATAATGAAATTTTCAATTGAATCAATATAATTGAAAGAGGGTTGGGTTGATAAATATATAACATAATCATTGTGCGCTGTTAATACGAGTAAGGGAAAACATTGTAATGGCGCACTATTATTAATGACAACTTTTGCACATTGACGTCAGCACGTTTCATTTACTGTGACTGTTTTAAATCGCTGTTACGAGCGCTTCTTTAACGAGGTTGCAAATCGGCACATCGCGAGAAGAACAAAGGCGAAGCGATCGTCTCGCGAACTTGTTCAACTTTTAATGACTCATTCTACGGAGGCGTTTGATTCCGAATAGAATGTAGTCTGCGCGAGTTTCAGAAGAATAATCAAGTTAGGTAACAAGCCGAAGAGTACCCGGCTTTCTCCCGTCGGGAACGCATTCCGCCGACACAGAAATTCCATTCGGCAAAAATCTCCTTCGCCGTCGCTCCTCCCGATCGGCGTCCTCCCGTTAATTAGTAAGAAAATTAATGAAGCCGTCTCCGCGCGCGCAAACTTTCTGCGCGCTCGCGCGAGGCTCATTAGTCTTTTATAGCTATGGGCATTAACGAAAGTAGTAGTAGATTCAACCGTTGATAGTCAGACGATTACGTGCCCGCCAGTAGTAACGACCTAACGAGTATCAGACATCAAAAGAAGTTCCTCATTAAGCTTGATTTTGCTCATTGCATTGTCGCTTTGCTTGCTCTCGAC